TTTGTATAAAGTTGAACAAATAGACACACATGTCCCACATGTCATTTTTTGTCCTATGTGATTTGTCCCATATAGGACTCATGTGTTTATTTATTTAAAAATTGGATAGTTAAAATGCTTGTTCGTGCATTATAAAAATTGAAGTTCAAATTTAAAATTAATTTAGAATCTGCTTATGAATTATGAAACATGATCATAGGGAAAAAGAAAAGTATATTTGCTTCACGTTTTATTCAACATGGACGTAACAATTATTTCGTCTGGAATCTTTTTCTATTTATAGAATAAATTCATATTTTAATTTAGTTGGATTATTTTTCTAATTGAGATATTTTATAGCTACTTCATGGAGCAGCAAATTCCAAAATGGGCAATTTTCATGCAAGGATAGATAAGATAATTTAACATGTAGGGAAGCAAACCCATCTAAAACCCATCGGCACAAATCCCCAAATTTCCGGCAGGTGGCAATCTCTCCTTCCACCGCCACTGCCGGAATCCACCATTTTACTAAAACACCCTTCGACAAACTTACGAAAACACCCCTGATGCAAAATCCAATATTTAAATCACTTCCACAGTCAGTTTCGCACTCATTGTTTTCTCCATCTCTTACCATCATTGTGCCCAAAAGGAGAACAGCTAGGGCAATAATGCCTTGTACTTCGCTAGTTGAATCCAGCGACGGCAACGGAGCTGTGCGTAGTTTCAAACTGAAAGAGTCAACTTTCCTTGCTGCTCAAATGCCGAAGAAAGAGATTGCTGCTGATCGGTTCATCGAAGCTCATCCCGAGTACGATGGTCGCGGTGTCATCATTGCTATTTTCGGTAGTTTTCTCTATTTCGATCCGTTTTACTTGTCGATGAGTATTAGGAGAAAATGAGTCAACAATTGTTTTGTGAGTTCATATTTGTGTGTATTGCTTATGAGATTAAGTGTCTCAGATTCTGGAGTTGATCCCGCTGCGGCTGGATTACGAGTTACCTCTGATGGAAAGCCGAAGGTCATTGATGTTATAGATTGGTGAGGCTTGAGAATCTGAAGTTTACTTTTTTTTTTATTTCTAGTGGATATGATATTAAAAAAGTACTAGATTTTGCATGCACTGGTAATGATTATCTTACTTGCAGTACTGGGAGCGGAGATGTTGATACTTCTACAGTGGTAAAGGCTGATGACAATTGTTGTATTACTGGAGCTTCTGGTATGTCTTTGAATTTAGGAATTATTCTCCAATTTGTACCTATTTTAGAATCTTTGACTTGTCTTCTTAAGATATAGTTCCATCACGTTGAAACATTTTGTTTAATTATAAAATTTATATTTATTATAGACCAATTCAATCTTAGATCAGCTGATAACTAATGGAACGGTTGAAACTTCCCCTGTCAGTCAAAATCTTTCTATGGCCACATAACTAGGACTTAGGTTCTAATTCCTCTGATGATTGGACCATAGAGCCCAAAATGACACGTTTTCAATATGGATATACTGGATAATGACGGTGCAGTATTGCTAATCTTCAATATTTATAAGAAGTGTTTCCAGAATGAGTTGTATCCTCCGTTGTTGTTTACAACGATGATAATGATGTAGACCTTCGTCATTTATGAACTTTAAAAAGGAAAGAAAGACCTATATCATTTCTCATTATGGCAAGATTTAGTCAGATTCAGGAATGCCTTCAACTTTTTTGATTGGTAATGTGATCTCAGGACATCTGAGTGTATGCAGTTGAAAGGGAAATAAACTACTCTCGTGCATCCTTCTACAAACCACTTCTTTTTAATTGCATTGCTCCGACATTTTCCGAAAATCTATGACATGGGACCATGACATTTACATTTCTCCTGCGATCTTTTGCTTGCTTAGTTTGAAGTACCAAAAGGTACTATGAGTCTACAACTATGAGTCTACATACTCTTGATTCATTTGTATATAATATGCCACGTATCTTCCATACTTACTCAAGGAGGAAGAAACAAAGAAAGATGGGTGAGGATAATGATCTACATCTGAAATTTGTGGATTTCTCACACATAGAGTATTGGGCAGTTTCTTACGTTATTAGCAGTTATTTGGAAATTCATTATAGTTACTGTCAAGAGGACTGCACAGAAGGATAAACCAATATCACAGCCTCAATCCATGAGAATGTAAGTGAAGAAGGAAGGAATTTGGGGAAAAACAATCAATCAATTCCATTACAAGTGTGTGTATTTGTATAAGGAGGAAACAAAAATATCTGACTAGTAACTACCTTACAGCTGTCAATGAGCTGGATACTGCAGCTGCCACTAACTAATTGAATGACTAATAGACTAACTAACTGAATGATAACTAACTGATGATAATTTTAACTAATGTAATCTTAATAGTTACTAGAAGTTATGTCTCTTTATCCTAAATGGTTATGAAATAGTTATAGTTAGCTATTATATACATTATACATAATAGATCCAGTGATGTGTAGATATGTTGTAATATCTTTTATATGCATAAAACTTATTTTGGAGATACGAGATACTTGTGTCTCTCTTTTATCCAATATAAAACTTATGTTTCTATCAATATGCAACATAAATGCTTCATATATTTATTATTTTGTAGGGGCTTCTCTTGTCATAAATTCTTCGTGGAAGAATCCATCTGGTGAGTGGCATGTTGGCTGCAAATTGGTGTATGAGCTCTTTACTGATACACTGACCTCTCGAGTAAAGGTGATTCTGGTTGCCATTCTCTTTATATTCTGGTTCTTTGCTTTATCCAAGTATTTATAATTTATTTTTTTCTTGAATTTTCTTTTAAGTTCAAACCCCAACTTTTTTGGGACTGAGGGGTAGTAGTTGTTGATTTCGTTCTTGAAGGATTCTAAAGTATTCTCTTTCTATAAACTCTTCTTATTTGCAGAAAGAACGAAAGAGAAGGTGGGATGAGAAAAATCAAGAAGCAATAGCAGAGGCTGTAAAGCAGCTTGATCAATTTGATAAGGTTCTCCACCATCTCTGTGATTATTTCCTTCAATAACCTCATATTTTGATAAATTGCAAATGTAGAGGTCATCAACTTATTTGCAGTGAGCATCTTCAAATGG